GCATGTGATAGGTCAAATTTGTTGCATCAAGTCTGTTTCTTGTTTTCTTCTGTTTAAACCAGCTTTAAGTTTATATAAACAGCTAAAAAAGCAAAAAGTGTAAAAAATGCTAAAGATTTGTTCAAAGTTGGTTCTGATCCATGTAATAAGCTTAAATTTTTAAAGACCACGGTTCTTCAAGGTGCTGTGGTATTTATCACCTTTGTCTCCTGATACTGTGGTTTGACTTTTTTTTATATACATTTGAATTTATTGGGAACATTATAGGTTAGACAAGATTTGTGTTCAAAATGATAAATCTTTATAAACGTTGACTCATGCGGTTTTGGTTCAGTTTTCTTCCGGTATTTCGCCTCAAGACAAGTAAGGTTGAGTTTWAAAATTCTGGTTTATCATTTGGGAAAATAAATAAAAGTTACAGACATCTCTTAAGATGTCAGTATTTAATATTGTTGAAGATGTATAAATGTTTTTGATCGGGCGAGTGACTGCGTGGTGAAATACATTTGGTTTGACTACAGTTTTCTTTGAGACGAGGTTCAAATCCTGCATCAAAATATGAATATTCATAAATAAAACGTGTGTGAAAATTTTACACATCTAAAAATTTGTGCCTCAAATAATGAAGATCTTGTTTTTCTCCTCTTGACTGCAAAACTTTAGTCTTCAGGTAATTTGTCTTAAAAATAAATTTGGAATATTTAAATTTTTTTTCAAGTAAAAATCTGTAAATCTGTTTGCAACATGTGTAAAAGTTTCACACATTTAAATAAACCTAGAAATAGTCAGTAAACGCTCTAAATTGATAGAATCGTGGCAATGCCTCCAGTTGTTTCCAAGTTAAGAGTTTTATTTAAAATACACTCAATTAGATTTGGTGTAAGAAAAATGTAATAAAAATAGAAAAATATAATAAATTTATAATGAAACAAAAACAAAGTGATCAGTGTTCAGTTCAAAGTGTTCCTGTTCTCCATATAAAGACATTAAGACTTTTACAGGATTCTCTGGTTTCTTTTAACTGTAGTTTTATGTCTGTATGTAAATGATTTATTATCTTTTATTAAGAATAAACAACACAAAAATATTAAACTATATCTGGATTTGTTTAATGTTTATGTTCCAGCGTTAAAGTTTGAATTGTGGCACATTTGACCCTCCATAGAAACCAACTTGTTTTTAAATTAATCATAAAACCTTTGAAGCTTCATCCTTTTATTCTGATGTAACGTCAGAATAAAAAAGAGTTTTGAGTAAAGTAGATGGGGAATAAAAGGTTTAGATAAACCTCAGTTTCATTTTTAATCTTCCACCTGTGCACTGAAAACTGTAAAAGTGACTAACATCTGTGGTCGGTGAACAGGAAATACTTTAAGCATCTGAACGCATCGAGGCACGACTGCATCTGTTTCCTGGACGTGTGGATGCTGCAGCTGGGGTCGTGGTTAACCTATGACCTTTGGGGGGGAGGGGGGGGGGGCTGCACCATTGGTTCTGAGTCTAAAGCTTGCTCTGTTGGTTAGCCACACTTCATRTTCTGTAGCTGCAGCTGGAAAATCTGTGCTGCGATGTGGCAGATGTTGAACACTTGGAAATTTGAAACAGATTTTTTTCAAATTGTTTAAGTTTACCTGAAGAATTCAGGAGGACTGGGTTTGCATGAGTTTAAAACCATGACCTGGTTACTTTCAGTGCTGTCTGCTCCATAAAAACCACAATCAACTCAGAAATTACTTTTATTTGTGTTTTATGTTCGTGATGATCGGTTCGTTCAGTGGCATCAGAGAAGTCGTTGCTCCAGTTTGAACTCGATGTTGTAGCTTTTCAGTTTTTGGTTTTTCTATAAGCAGCTGTGTTTCCATTGACCATGAAAATGTGCAAATTAGAATTGTGAAAAAAATTTTTGCTTAATGGAAACAAACCAGTTTCAAAAAATCTTACGTTTTTCGACAAAATGTTTTTGCTCTAAAAGAATGAATGGATGTTAAATTTAGGATGCACTAGTCCAGCTGTTTCAGTTTATATACATATATCAAGGCTGCACAAAGCTTTTCCCCAAAATGAAAATCTACCTGAGGGCTGCGGCCAAATGTAAGAATATAATTCATGAAATACAAATACTTCTTAAGTACAGTCCTTTGATTTGAATGATTCTGTCCTGCTGGAGTGTGACATGATTTGTTTGTGTACAAACTAATACACTATCAGAGTTTTATATATTTATACTTCTCATTCAACCACAGTTAAATTCACTCKATCTAGGAGGCTCAGTTTATATGGATAGTTTTTATTTTTTACAATAACAAGCTGCAATGAAAACAAGAAGAAATGAAATAAAAGTAACAACTTTCTACTTCTTGTCTTTTTTAAAAATGTAAAAAGTAGCCTGAAAAATAATGACTCAAGTACAGATACCCAAAAAGTCTACTTAAGTACAGTAACAAAGTATTTATACTTAGTTA